TCAAAAATTCATTGAAATGTTACAAAATATGAAACAGATAATAAAAAGAATATCAATTCAAATTAGGGCTTTTACTTGTCTATATTCTACGTTATTCAAATTTCGATGGTTCTACGTACCGTCGATTTATTACAAGCGAGAAACATACATATATTCATGCAGATTCTTCATTATTTAATTTCTTTAAATATAATACAGGAAACTAATATTTAGTGGCAGCAATTTGAAAAGTGATTCTCCGTCTATAGCTTTCAAAGCAAAATTCCAAAACGAAATTAATAGGCCTTCTAGGCAAATAGCCCGTCTGGACTAAAAAATGTATGCTAGCACTTAACATTGCATCCAGAATTCTAAACATATGTTGCTGCGTTGTTTTTAAAATTTTAGTTATTTGGCTATGAATTGTAGGTGGATTAAGTACGCAGAAAACGATGTTTTGTAATAAATGTAAAATCACCAAAAACAAAAAAAAGTGGTTAGCAGGAGTGAATGCACCAGCAGATATGTTGATTGCGAGCTCAGCAGAGCTTAAAAAACCTTAACGAACAATTTGGGGGCCACCGTTATAATCTGAAATGTTTCAGAATTTTTTCTTCTTCATCTTCTTTGTTTCGTATTGATATATAAAAACAATTTCAGTTGCTTTTCTTGTTTTTGAATTGTTAGTCAATCAATCAATTTCTAATTTCTTCAATTAATATTCCCTCTGAGAATACATGCGCGAAGCTTTGCGACCTGAACATTGTATTCGAAAACTGATGAGGTAAAAGTACATTTCATGGAGATACGGGATAAATAGCGTTATTTATATTATAAGGTATTTCTCGCACTTTCCTGGCGTGCTTTTGTGGTGCAGTGGTTCTGCACGCTGGTCCGGTATTCCAGAGATCCTTGGTTCGATTCCCGGCGAAGGCGTTTTCTATTTTTTCATCTCTCCGGCCTCCAAATAATTTCCAGACTTTGGGTTATAAGGTATTTCTCCCGCCTTCTTCGCATGCCTTCGTGGTGTGGTGGTCTGCACGCTCAGTGCGTAATTTAGAGATCCGTGGTTCGATTCCCGGCAGAGGCGTTACATATTTTTCATTTCTCCTGCTTCTAAAAAATCCTAATGTCTCTACAGTGGCGCCGGAACTAAAAGGATGTTGGATGAGGATTCTCCGCACCCAGGATTTGGCGAATGGGTCTCCAAAAAACCCGAGTCACCCTTTAAAACGGGGAGTATATAAGGTATTTCTCCCGCGTGTAGTGGTCCGCACACTGAGCCGGTATTTCAGAGGTCCGTGGTTCGATTTCCAGCGAAGGCGTTGCTAATTGTTCATCTCCCCGGCTTCCAAAATGCCTATTGCCTCTACAATATATAGTATTATTCTTGCAAAATATATATGTGTGGAAATGCTTCTTGTAGGATTGATACATTGAGGTTCTATTGTAATATTATGATATTAAATTTTGGAAAAACATCCTTATTAGCAAAATATCAACTTGAGCAACTATTTATTTACTTTTTATTTGCAATTTTTTACTTTCTTCATTATTATCTAAATAAGAATTGCTTGATGTGAATAAAAAAAGTGAAATGCTTTCTTTAATTATTTGAATCATATACAATAATTATACCTTTAGGCATTTATAAAGAATCATCTGGCTAAACTACTGTTATGCATTGTTTACGCATATTATCATATATACTAAAAGTCCTAACATCTGGTTCAGTTCATTATAATTGCAACTGTCTAATATCAAACCTGTGGTATATATTACTTATAAACTTTCCAGACTGTGTAACAAGAGCGGAATGCGGAGCACGTTAATAGGTTGATTCAGGAAACTCTGCTTTTCATTATTATTACTGAGAAACTCCTTTCCTCTATGAATCATTCTGCATTCCTAACTTTTATGAATCTAGTAAAATTTATGGAATGCATGACAGGCGCTATGCAGACCATGCTTTTTCCGAGTTAAGTATTTTTTCCCGAAAATGATGGGTTACAGTGTAGGCCAAAGATTAATCAACAGCCGAATTTAATTTCATTATGTATGGACTTACTTACTCATAAATAGTACCGTTTTTGAACTTAATATTAAGTGTAAATGACTAATAAATTAAGAAAAAAAAATGCAGCATTTTAGTAAATATATGATATAATATTCATTAAATAAAGCCATCTCCCGATTTAGCAGAAGCGTATTAATCGAACCTTTTTAATTTAGGTAATTAAGTTTAAGAAAATTAAGTTCATATAAGTTTATATAAACTTATTTATTTCTAAATGCCTAAAGTTTGTTTACTTTAGACTAAAAAACGTTTGTTTGGATGGAAAATTTACTGTCACCAAAATAGGAATAAAGCAAAATTTCCAGAGGAAAATTTAAAATAGAAACGAAAATGTTTGAGACAACTGCAAAGGGAGCAAACTAAAGTCATAGTATCTAGAAATTGTTTTATCTACAACAGAGCGTTAATTAATTGTATACAGCGTATAAATTTGCGCCAAAAATAACAGCGTCAGTTGTATAAAAAAAAGAATGAGTTCTATATCTCCCGTTCTACTGGGCTGATTGACGAACTGGAATTGCCTTTTGCATGTCTCAAAAGCGCGGCTTAGGATATATTAGATTTATATATAGCATTGTTCTACCGTAGGTATTTTGAAACAAAATCGGACGTTTTTCTAAAACAACGTACCAATTTTTTCGTCTTTCGATTGCACAACTCAAATCATGAATATATATTAAATTTTGTAATCTTTTGGTGAGAAATTCATGGAACAATTTAAAAATTTATCTTGGTACATTTTTTTTTCAATTTGAGCCAGGAATAACTCGCATGGAGAACTTCTTAATTTATAGCAACCTATTTTCCTTTCCTTTTTTTTTATTGTCCACTAGCGGGGAAAAGTCATTGTTCATACTTCAAATAATTTTTAAAAAGTAGGTAGACCACGTTTTCGTTATTATCGCTTATCATAAATACGCCAAATTTCAAAACGTGCCAAATGTGAATTCAAGCATATGTTGGGAAATTTTGAATTAAAAATATTAACGTTTTGATGGTATGCTTAGAAATACATCTACTTACTACATTATAACCTACAAAACTTTTGTGAGTTATAAATCAGAATTGTTTTCGAAAAATTTGTAAAAATTATTTAAAAATAAATCGCAAAAAATGGGAGAATTTTATTTTGAATGAACCTAAATTTGAAGAATCAAACAAGTTTAATAAAAAAGAGATAATTATATATGTCAAATGAATTAACATTGAGAAGCTAAAATTTTGATACTTAATTTTCGAGTTTTATAAAACTTGGCATCTTGGCATAATTTGAGTAGTAGAATTGAAATATGGAAAATAGAATTGGCATATCATTACAGAAAAAAATCCGTTTTTGTGTTAAAATGTATATATTAGAACAATGCTATATGTAAATCTAATAAATATCCTAAGTGGCACTTTCGAGACATAGAAAACGCAATTTGAATTTCTTCGACCGGCCCAATACAACGGAACATATAGAACTGTCTCATTTTTTCTGCCCAGTGTATATAATCTGGAATATAATATGAACCTTGTTAAATCATTTGTTAAAAGGAAATTGCTAAGTCTTAAAAACAAATTCAGTGTATGGCTATTAATCTTTTGAGTGTTGATTTAATTTGCAGAACCGAACGAACTTATTTTCTAAATTAAATAAGTGCTAAAAATTAAAAAAAAAAAGAATTAAATAAGTGCTTTATTCAAAATAAATTTTAAACAAAGGAACATTAGCTCAGAAGGGCTATTAATCTCAAAACGGCATTCTGTGGCATTTCACTATAAACGACGAATCACTTTTTAAATTACTGCTACCAAATATTACCACCTTGCATTATATTCAAAGAAATTCATCTGCATGAATGTATGTATGTTCTTCTTGTGAAAATACGACGGTACATAGAGCCATTAAATTTTGAATAGCGTAATCTTTCACCCGAACATGGGCACTAACTGCTGGATTAGCCTTGATATTAGGCGCACTGTGGGGATCGTCTCCAGTTTCATAACCAATTAGTCGGAAGTCTGCTGTATATGTACAAAAATCCAAATACGAATGAATATGATCCGCGATATATCCTGAAATAAGAAATTTACTGAAATCTCAGACTATCCCTCACAATTCGGGACGTCTAATGAATTTATTTTTAATGAAGGAAGATGGTATTCGTACTTTAAGATAGTTTTAACTTTGTTTATATGCATGTGGTTCAGAGATCAATGCCCAGAAACAACCGTTTACATGAGGTACTGATGAGGAAACCTCTGTGGTGATTAGAATTAACAGGAAAAAAAAACAAGTAAATCATAAAATGTGTTTTTAAGGTATTTCTCGCACCTTCTTGGCGTGCCTTCGTGGTGCAGTTGTTTGCACACTAGGCCGGGATTACAGAGGTCCACGGTCCGATTCCCGGCGAAGACGTTGTTAATTTTTCATCTCTTCTGCTCCCATAAAAACACCATATTTCATTTTTTTAACCTTTGTGGACATTTACAACAAAATGGGCAAAAAAACAAAGTAAATTGTGAATTGGACAATCGTAAAGATTAGACAATCTTTACGGATTCATTATGCATAATCATCGTTTATTGGCAATGACCTAATGGAAACAAAACTACTAAATTTGTAGTGTCGTTGCGATGATCATAGTGTATCTAATACGAAAGTAAATTTTTAGGTCATTTCATAAAATGACCATCAGACATGCAGTTTTTACATATCTATTCTCCAGCAGTATTTAAGGTTATATACTGCTTAGGATAACGTGATTTTAAATTAAAAACAGTTTTGTATATAAATAGATGCTTCTGAATTCTATTTCTCTGTTTTTATATGCACATGTCGAAAAATTTTTTTATATTTTTTTGTATTTTAAAATATACTACTCACACAATAACTTGTGGATGCTATTAGTAAAACTTACTATGTAAGTAATAACGTTTTAAAAATTCATTTTTTTTCTAGATTCATTAGAATGGCTGAAACTCGGAGGGAACCTACTTGAAGCAATTCCTCACGAGGCACTTCACCGTCTGGAAAAGTTACGACAGTTAGACATCAGACAAAATCGTATTACAAGACTTAGCGATGTGGATTTCGAGCACTATGGAAGAACCCTAAAGTTTATATTCCTGCAAAAAAATCTGTAAGTTCTTTGCCATTTTCAAGAAAATACCCAAAATTTATGCATTTAAAACATTAAACTTAAAATGACCAGACTCTTCATTTTATTTTTCAAATAGAAGGAAAGCAGACTCTTCATTTTATTTTTAAAACAGAAGAATAAATAACCTACTGAGTGTGATCATATTTAAATGTCCAATTCATTATTGAGAAAACCTGCTGTTTAATCATAGTTATTGATGCGGCTCGTCTCACGTGTCTGGTAGTAACATCAGAACTAATAGACCGTGGATTGGAGATTTTATCGTGGCGTAGAGCGTCGGATTTCATCTGTCATTGAACAGGCCTTAAGAAAGTTTGCAAGACAAAGTTAAACTATGCTCAAATTCCGTTTGAATTCTGGCACAATTTCTAGGCTCATTACTATCTTTATCTTGAAGGAGAATGCTCCAGAAGACGGATCCAAGAGTCTGCCACTCCTCTGTCTCTACTACTGCTGCTTTGCCTACTACTGTGCGTCTTTCCCTACTACTAAATCATTCTAGAGGAATTTCGGCTCACCGTGCACTTTAAATGCTCCCATGCAAAAAAAAAAAAAAAAAAAAAAAAAAAAAAAAAAAAAAAAAAAAAAAATGCTATTACGAATATCCAGGCTTTTTCTGCCATTCAAATCGGATCAACGATACGGCAGTCGTTAACACTTACCACTGTACTAAATAAAACGGTCCACTCTCATCGATATGACATGAAATACAGTCATATCGTTTACTGTTGTGTTGATCCAAGTAACTTAGGTTGGATGCTTATTCATTTACCTAAACAGAGGAGAGATGTAATCTTGATTTATTGCAATTACTCCATATGCGTAAAAGTAATGAGCTATATTCATAACATTCTTGATAAACTAACTTGACATATTTTAATATACACGTATATATACGTTTTTATAGATATCACAAAAAATATTATAGGCCGCTTAGAGGGTTTAAGTAAATATTTATTTACTTTTTATTTACATTTTGTTACTTTCTTCATTATTATCTAAATGCGAATTGTTTGATGTGAATTAAAATTGAAATGTATTATTTAAGTATTTGAATCATATACGATAATTATAACTTTAGTATAATAATATTAATATATTATTATACTAAAGGTATAATTATTGTATTTACGGCCTAGAATACTTTTTGTGATATCTGTAAGAACGTATATACGTGCATATTAAAATATGTCAGGTTAGTTTATCAAGAGTGTTATTGGATATGATTCAAATAATTAAAATATAAACGAGTTATTGCGTTATGTTTCAAAATTAAAGTCTGATTCTAAATTTTAATTTTTATTTTAATTTCGAGAATTTACAATATTATCGTTGCAAAAAAAAATTATAAGTTGTATTTCTTCGAATGAGCTCATTAAAAATTCTTATTGTTAGAATCGTTTTATATTTAATTCCACAATTTTTTCAACAATTAATTATTTTAAAGATCATGATTAAATGCGATCATATTGGCTCAAATTAACATTTCCTAAACAATTTATATTCATTATAAATTCCGATACATTTATATAATTTTGGAATTAACGGTTAATCTTTGGAATATGGTAACAGGTAGTTTGGCGACATTTTGGTAAGGCGATAAAGGTAGCTAGGACTTAAGCAATGTACATGGATAAAGTCAAGAATGTGCGCAATGCCATTTTTGTGCAATTCTGGGATGTTTTTTTAGTGAAAATAGGTCGACGTGTACATGGATACCGTGTATGTGCAATTCTTAAAAACGCGGCAAGCAGTGGGCGATTCTGCACTTTCTCCCAATTTTCGCACCTAATCTTCGTCATGATTAAGCACTTTTGTTCCATAAAAGTTCTAGCATAAGCGTAATTCGGCTAGCAGATTGTTGGGAAAAAATGTCTGCTCGTTTCTTCCGTGCGAAATCGAAATAAAACTACAAATTTAGCTTCACATTTTTTAAGTCACATATTTGGTCGAAATCTAAAATCAGAATCCATCAAGTAGCAGTCTAGAAAAATACACATGTCACTTAAATTAAGATAAAACTTTTAGACATATTTCAAGACACTTTATATTTGTATATATATTCAGATACAGTATTGTATGTTTTGATTTAGGAAACAGCAATAAAATCATCCAATCATTTTCTTTCATAGAAATGAATTCGTTCATACACATACAACCATCGATTTAAATTACTAAAACATATGTTAGCTTAATGGTAACTTTATAGCTCCTACAACGATAAATTTAGTCCCTACTGTTAAATGTTCTCCAAAGCTTCATACTTCTGCGATCAAGACTTTTTTCGTAGATCCAGTGCTGAACTACGAAAGATCATACACGCCAGTTGATTTTCACCAACAAATAACGACTGTATTTATTGTTGCTATGATATGAATAATATTAAAACTTATTAATCATATTTGTGATAGAAAGATTATTAAATTGACAGTAATTATCAGTTATATTTACAGAGCACTACCCACGCTTCTAAAAACCACTTCCGTCCGATACATGTACAGAGTCACTAGGGTTTTTTTCTTTAATCAGGAGCCATGAAAAATGTGAAACGGTCTTGCCGGGATTCTAACCTGGAATACTCTAGAATACGGCCGAGTGTGCTACCGTTTCACCACGAAGGCATGCTGAAGAGAGGGAGAAAATACCTTATACATATTTTTGAGTTTATTAGACGGCTGAGACGATGATTTGTGTATTGCAAATCATTATGTCAGTTTTCAATTTTAAAGTAAAATAATAAATTACAATTAATCAAGTAATTAATCCTAAACTAATAATTGAAAATGAATGTCAAAAGTAAGCTATTTACTCAATTTCAAAATTCATTTTTTCAATTTAAAAAAAAAATAGTTTTATAATTACATCGTTGATGACATTCCATGCTTCGTTCATCATCTCGTCATGATCGAGATTCCTGGTGTTTGTATTGCAACATTAAATGAAACTGAAAAGCGGACACTTCAAATTTATAGCCACCAATGTTTGAATAAGGTATTTAGGAGGAGAAACAAGGGGAAAATATGAAGTAGTCGCAAATGAAAATAACTAAAGACATATATGTTACGCCAGGCAGCATTTGTCTGGGCAATGTCTTCAAAGAGCCACATTGGCTAATTATGATCCACATTTGTTGATTTCAGTGAGTGGAATAAGAATGCAACAGATGTTTCAGTAACAGATTAAGGTTTAAGGGGTACTGCTTTGAAAAATCAAAATGAGATGCTGGTTTGCAAGCAGATCAGCTGCTTGCATTCTGCTGACGTTTGTGCATGTGAAGAATACATCAACTTTGAACCAAGTCCCAGTTAAAAACCTTTTTTATCACATATAAATCCCGAAGAAGCCTAACCAGTGATACTTGATGTACCTTGAAATGGAAAAACATCAGATATTCGCTAACTATATCTCAACATTCAACAGAAGGACTAGTATGAAGACGGAAGCTAGATGGTTTGGGTAGGAACCACGTCGGACGGGACCACAGATCTTCACGTCTTTGTCAGAGGTTATGTACTGCTGCAACGTATAAGGAAGAGATCTTTAAGTCCTATCTTTCCACATTTTCAAGAGTGCATTTGTCCCTCAGTTCAATTTTATGGACAGCAGTGCTCATACAAATAGAGTTAAGATGGTGGATGATTTTCTGATTAGGGAGGATACCAACCGGTTGTAATGGATAGCCAGATCTGCAGAACTAAACCGTATAAAACGTAGACGTATTTTTTACGTTATTTCAACTATGCTTGTACTTAATTTCTATTAAATATTTTCACTACTTCTAGAAATATTCGTCCAAATGTAGAAATTGTCTTTATTTTGAACATTAGCAAATGAGTCGTATGTTAATTCACTGAACGATCACTGATCTAAATTAAATTAGTGATATTAAGAAAATTCTTCAGCTGATTTGTGAATTATATACGGTTTTTCAATAGTTTTAGTTTATCCGCACTTCTTACTGTCTCAACTTAACGTTTTGCTTATATCTTGTATGATGCGAGGAAGTGCAAATTAAGAAAGTGAATCAAGGAATGAAAAATGTTTCAAAAATTCATTTTCTCTGAATAAGTGTTTTATTGACACTGAGAACAACATTTCTGAAACAATCAAACATTGTTTGAAGGAATTACAGCTGCTACAGGTAAAACAACAGAGACATATTTTGTTCATACTCTGATTATAAGAAATGTATTAAAATTGTTTAACTTGACAATTTAATTGAGGTAAGAAAAATGTTTATATTCGCACTACGTTTGAGGGATTTTTGATTCTATTACCTATAATCTTTATTTAAATTAACTTGTAACTTTTTATCAGCTTTTGAGACACTTTTATGCTTTGGAAACATAAATCGTAATTATTTAATTTGAAAATTATAGTAGATATTGTCTTTAATTTGAAGAAGAAATTCGTTGCGTAACTTGGGTAAATATGTCATTTGAAACTGTAAATAACTGAGAAGTAGAAATATTCCTTACAGAATTGTTTTGGCAACACGATTTGAAAAGATCATGCTTTTAAATTGTCGGTATATTCTGTTTGCGATAAATACATCAATTTTTTAAATTTCCTACCGTACATTCATAAAGCATAGACCACTGAATGTGATAATAATGAAAGAATAGATAATACATTTCTGCTAGAAGAAATTATTAAAATTTTAGAAGATATAAATATCGTTAGTTTCGTTCAATGGGCTTATCACTTACGAAATACTTTCAAGACCTCAACAGCAGATTGTGATAAATATTCCACTTGTGAAATAATTGCCTAATAAATCATTAAAGATGCAGAATTGCTTGTTGTGGACTAGAGGCACCAAAAATTGTGATAAATCATACTCATTATAAAGACTCAATGCTTGTTCAACTCAGCGCCATCTCTCGGACTAGTCTTGCATAAACGAGGTTACTTTATCCTGGACATAACAGATAGCTTAATTTCGAACGCAGTCCTTTGAAACGGAAAGGCCTGAAGAT